TTTACATCACCATTCTGGGAGAATGACATCAACATTTATCACTTCCATTCAAGGAAGTTTACAGGCATGTGCACTCCTGGTTATGGAAACAAGCTCAGGAGAAGCAAGTGCATAGTCGTCTAGGGGTGCAGGGGTGGAAGAGGTAAGAGAGTTGATGTCTATGTACCCTGAACAATATAGCTCTCCTCCTGTCACCTTTTTAGCATTCCACAATGTTCATTTTACAACACTAAGTCAAAATAAAATGAAGAAAAAAGAAATGGAATTTAATGCTTATATACTCTCACGATCTATATATTTATTCTTTCAAAAACATTTCTTGAACACCTAATTTATGCCTAGGATTGTGCTGTGTGCTAGGAATACAATGGTGAACACAACTGACATTGTTTCTCCCCCCTCAAGAAGTTTCAATCAAGTAAGGAGGAGTTTTCACATTTGCCTCTTAAATAAACAGTCTTTTGGAAAAAAAAATGTAATAGCACCATAAATATGAATTTTAAAATCTTCCTGAAGAAATAAAAAATGTGTGAAAAATAAAATGGCAAAATTTGTCATTCAAATATTTAGGAAGATAATATAGTATTTACATATAAAACAGGCACAGTTAAAATAGAAGGGTAAAAAATATTTTTAAAACTTTTCTTTCAAAACTTATATTCTTTCTAGAGCTTCAGCAGAGAGAAATAATTAAGCAAATTTAAAAGTTTCATTTCTTGTTATAATCCAAGGCTATGTTTTATCAATCTAAAGGTATTTTCACATGAAGGTATTGACCAAGCTTGTCTGGCTCTAATATAATTTTGAGTTTAAAGAATAAGGGGGAAAAAGCCTATTAAAATCACACACAATTTAAAAAACAAATGGTCACTGTAAAAACCTGAAATAAAGGTAAAGTCAATTGGTAAATACTAAATTGTGTATATGTATGACTGGCTTCAAGGTGGAAGTTTTGCTAGTAGTGATATGTATATATATGTGTGTATACACACACACACACACATACACACACACACACACACACACACACACACACACACACACATATAATTCACCTTCTTCTTCCCTTTCCCACACCATCAAAGTAATTGGTGAGTTTCTATGGCAAACAATTTATCATTAAGTAGCACTGGACTCTTATGAAACTGAGAGACCTCTGATCTCTTGTTTTATTAGTTCATGCCACACACACACATCCACAGACTATCCTGGGGAAAATATGTCAAGGCAAACTAGGGGATTCGATACACATAGTATACAGTTTTGTGATGAAAAATGCTTTCTGATGACTTTAGTTTTTAACCATAAAAACTGTCTTCTTTAGGTCATGGCTCAAACTCACTTTATTTTTACCCTTCCCTGTGCCTCTCCCCTAACCATGAACTTCAAAACTGGAGTCTGCTGTCTCTATCACTGTGATGAGCCACATAGCATTTACTGTAACAGAAAAGCCACTAGAGCAGGAAGAATCAGACGCTGGGGAAAAGAGATGGTAAGGTATAGATAGACAGTAAGTGATTTTTTTCCCTCTCTGGTATTAAATGAGGGGTGAAAGAAAGTGCCATCATGATGTCCTCAGAATTCCCTGCCACTTCAGACTTGAACAGAGTCTGTGACCTTTGTCTTCTGAAGGAGGAGGGATGGTAAAACTGGAGCAATGTGCTGTGAGACTGGCCAGCCTTCCTCAGCTCTTTGATTAATGGCACAGAGTGTGGCAAATTTGTGGATACGTGACAATGGTGTTGCATGAGACACCCAGTGCTTTTGTTTTAGGCACATACTCCTGACAGAGCTCTCCTCTGCTCTTATCAATATAAAGGGCCAGCTCAATAATGTTATTGTATGTATTTCTCTTATATTAACTTTTAAAATATCTATTTGACAAAAAATTAGTAACTTTAACCTTGACTTATATATATTTTTGTCCTCTTTGTGAGGTATACCACAGAACAAGAAAAAGTCAAGACTGCCTAGAAAATTGAACCTAGTAGACCTCGACACTCAGTAGTGTGAGGGCCAAAGAATACTTGTCAGATTGGTCGATATCAGCCTTGCCTGTGTGTGCCTTTTAAAACCATAGGAAAATTATGAATTATTTCCATTAAAGGAAAATTCTCTATTTCAGAAATACATTAAAAGGCGCACTTTTATTGGAAATGTAAATAGTCATTTGCATTTCTATGACAGTCGCCAACATTGATATTCATTACATGATGAGAATTCTATAGACAAATGAAGGTCAATGCTTCTTTAAACTCCTCTCACAAGAAAAGCTATTATTTTGCTAATGTTATCAATGCACACATATGTAGACATATAAATATTTATACAGAAACTTATTGTCTAGTCAGTGAACAGAAATGGGAATAAAAATGATGTGCTCTGGGAATTCTCCCTGTGTGACTGTACTTCCAAAGCAGGAGAGCACTGTGTCTTTGCCATTCCTACCCCTGTGTCTAGTGGGGAAAGGTCAATATTTCACATAACATAAGCAGAAAGGGACTGGGATTCCCCCTGTTTACAGAAAGGAAAAGATGAGAGGCTCCAGAAGGTTAAGTGACTTAAGATCACATTACTGAGTTAAACCTAACACACAGCTTTCTTGACTCTCAATCCAGTCCTACTTCTGTGATATTGGAAGTACAGATCAGAGTAGTAATCTACAGTACAGGGAAAGGTAAAGAGTTATCAGGTTAGCTAGTAGAAAGAGAAGGCATTACAGTAGTAAACTGAGGAGTAACTATGAAGATCAACCAGATCTTAGAGAAAAAGACCACAGGTTGAATTGTGGAAATATTTGTACTTCCCCAAACCACAAGAGGAAGGCAGATAAGTGCATGGTAGAAATCCAACCAGGAAGAGTAAAGGTTTTAGGTCAAAGCTTCACCATACATTTGCCTTTCCAGGGTGCCCTAAGAATTGGACTCCACCTTTCGGTTCTAGAGAAAAAAATCCTAATAAAAATGTAACCAGTAAATAGAGACAAAGTCATATATGGCCTAGGAGACGCTGTCTTGAGGGAAAGTCTGAGGAGGAGTTGGATGGAGTTAGGTCACAATCAAATAACAATGTCATCATGGGAAAGAAAAGGATTTATGTATCAAATGGCTGACTTTAGCCTGCAAAGTGCAGAGCAAGCTCCTAGGTCTTATTGGTCTGCTGCTTCCCCGCTGACTTTTATCAGGGTCAGTGTTAGACAGAAGTCAGGAAGCAATGTACCATATTGTCACAGTCTATTCTAGCACTGACAAATGGAAGGACACTCTAGACACTCTGGAACCCAGGCCTTGGATAAGGCAGAATGCTCACTCACGCTCCTGGGGTTCCACAGAGGGGTGGGGAAACAGGCAGTCTGAAGCTTGGATCAATGACCTGCCCTTGCCATCTCTTCAAAGGACTGGGCTCAGCCAAGGGGATGAGGGCCCCAAAACATGAACAAAAATAATAAAACACTTAGGTCTATATTACACTTCAGCATTTTACGTCTTGTCACAACTCCACACATTTAATCTTTACAGAAAACCTGTAACACAGGTAGGAACTATCAATCCTTTTTAAGAAATGTGCACACTAAGGCTCAGAAGATTGTAATACTACTTGTGCAAGGTCAAATCGTAGATAGCAAGGTCAGAGGATCGACATTTCTGAACTTTCGATCCAATTTTCTTTTGCATTTATTAAGCAGATTTACTGTAAAATAGAGTCAAAAAGCACAATCCAGTTAATGCAGAAAAATTTTTTAAAGGTGTCACCTCAAACCTCATGGAAATTACATATTTAAAATTCATATATTTCCTTCTAAATATTTTTTTTCCCCAATGGAAATAGAAGTTTTTGACATGAGGCAGCCTGGTCTCAATGCCTGGCTTATTCTAATTGTTATTTCTAGAGAGTACAAATAAAATAAATTGAGTTTCAAATTTAGATTTTAAAGTTAATGGAATAAGATATCTCTGGTAATTTGTTTTGTTAACATTCTAAAATTGAACAGAGGTAAGAGAAGTCTCAAAAACTGGCTATACAAACACTTTTATGGTTACTTCATACTCTTGCAGATGATCACAATAGTAGCAGTTAAAATATAACTGTTTCCTGTTTCTAGGTAAGAAGCAAAGCTATCAATAGAAATGGCAGTAACTGTTATGACAATCTATCTGCTATATCCAGAACACATCTGTAGGGGCATGTCCCTGCCACATCTTACCAAAGGAAAGATGATACCCCCCCTAGTATTTCAAGTGAATGGATAAATAAAGATAATTAGGATTAATTGCACTTATGAAAAGTGTCAAGGAAGGCCGAAGTGTTCCATCTTTATGACAGTTGCTCTTTGCTCTCTGAGATTCTCTTATAAACTTGTAGGATCTAGAACCTTTTGGCTATATACTATATTTAAATAATCCACTGGTTAAAAACAGAAGCTTTCTTCACAGATGAGCTCAGCATGAAATATAATTTGTCTATGTGTTGCAGGTTTATAATAATAAAGACTACTAATGCATAAAAAGATTAAAACATACAACTCTCAGAACTCTTAGTTACTGTTAGGTTCAATGAGGAAAACAAATGTAGAAAACAATTTTAAAAGTCCTTAAAGAATGGTTCTTATGATCTCTTGAGACAGGACAGACAATGTTCCCTACCTGAAAATTGCAAATGTCAAAAAAACAATCTTCATAAAATTATTTAGCATTAATTTTCTATTAATTTTATAAATGTATATTTATATATATATATTGTGTGTGTGTGTGCATGGGTGTGTGTGTGTGTGTGTGTATATCTCAGTGGACAGCCATCATTAATATTATAATTGTATTATTTTTTCCTGAGGTAAATAGATATTGCATATAATCTCTGGATTTATTTATATTTATGCATTTGTTCCTCTCAAAAAGAGGTAACTATTTTGCTCTAAATCATCAAAAGCGGTGTCTATCCAACATTATGAACATGTCTCCTTCCATCTAATGTTTGAAATGGGTGAAGTTAAAATTTCTTACCATCCAAGCTGTGACAAAGTCCCCCATCCAGGTCCCTACAGCAGCTAATTTCATGAAACTTTCATTTCGGATGCCCATATAGTCTGTAATGATATAAGCTCTGTGGAAAAAAAAAAAAACACACAAGACATTTTCCAGACTCAGAGAGCCACATAGTCAAAGCTTTCTGGTTCAGCAAAATGCAAAAGGACTTTACCCACTTTCAAAAAGATTTTTGCTTTGTCTCATCACATACACTTACAAATCTGAAAGGCTAGGAAGAGCTCTGAGGGTGTCTGGATCAATTCCAATTAGACTTGACGACCGACTGTACCAATTATCATCTGCATTTCATTTTTGAGCTGTAAGACTGACAATAGCTTTTGGAAAATTAAACAAAAACACTCAGCAAAGGCATCATTTCATGCTCACTCGAGCATGAGGAGAGTGGAAACAATTCTTGAATTAGAGTAACTTGAAAGGAAAAAGAAGAGCTTACTTTCATCAGTTCTGTCAAGTCAGAACTATTGAAAAAGTGCTGTGCTGAGACTAGGCTTTAGATACCATATCATACCTGAAAAATGTTCAGAATAATGTCAAGATTTGAGAAAAATGTCCACACAATGAAGCTACTTAAAATTTGATTCAATATTCAGTTTAAATTATTACTTAAATAACAATAACAATACGATTTAATTTCATCATTCTTTTTGTTTAGTTAATTCTTATTTGCTTGCTATAACACCAATTCATATCTTCACTGCTCAAAGAGAGATTCGAAGGTACGACTAATCGTTAAATACAAGTAATGAAACCATGCTTATTGTTAAACATTTCACTTCCATGTCTCCATTTGATAGTCAAGAAAATCCTAAGTATTACTTTTCCCATTTTGCAGTTTCTCTGAAATAAAGAAAAAAACCTGGGACTCAGAAAGATCACTTAACTTGCCTAATCAATACCACATAACCGGCAAATGGGAGTTAGGAGCTAAATCCCCCACCCCTTACTTTCTCTCTCTCTCTCCCCCTCCTTCCCTCTTACTCTTAAGTTTTTTTTCCATTCAGATTCTTTTTACTTTAAATCTATTCCTTTTTTTTATATGACGATACCTGTACAATTTTAGAGTATTAGTTGAACTTCATTCTTCTTGGATTAACTTTAAAACATATAGTAAAGAATGATATGTTTGTTATTTATCTACTAAAAGTATGAAGAAGTAAATTTTTGAAGTCACTGAGAGGTAAATCATCCTTAATTTAGTTATTTATCTTCTAGAGTGATTTCATATAGTTTTGTTATCCATAAAATAAAGATATTTAAATAGTTTTATTTAACAACAAAAGTTCACCTACCTTGGAAGGTCTATATAAATATCCTAAGGTCTCATCCCAAAATTCTGGGTCTCTAATTCCATAGGTTTCCATAAGAGCCAAAACATGTATAGCTGCCATGAACTGCAAGCTTACTATGTGCCAGAGATCACTATTAACACATTAAATACTGTGTCTCCATCAACCTTCATATTAGCATAATGACATGTATTATTATTCCTGTTTCACAGATACGGAATTGAGGTTTTAGAGAGGTTTTGCTTTTTCAAGGTCAAGCATCTAGTAAATGGACAAGATTTGAATTTAAATTTGATTGACTCCAAAATCCGGGCACTTAATCACTATGCTAAATCCTCCTCCTACAAGTGTTAGTGAAGATATAAAAAAAAAACACAAAGGATAGCTACTCTGTTTGCCAGTAGGCAATGAAGATCACAACTTATTTCCTTTGAAGGTAATTCAGAATGAGAAGTCAACAGTAGCATCCACAAGCTGCAACTCTCCAGTGCTATCATCAAGTCTTGGACTCCCACTGAGTCACTAATCTAAGAAGCCTCTACTTGAAACTCTTAACTTGGGGTCCCCCAAGTTAACTTTTACAGCCTGGTTTCACTCCCTTCAGTACCATTACTACTGAACAGTTCGTGGGCAGTGAACTCAGTGTAGTGCAGAGTATTAGCTTTGGTAATTGTCCAGATTTCCTAATGACACCTAGTCTCAAAAATGTGCTCAATACCACATCCCAATCTGTTCACTTTGCCAATTAATTCTATAACATATTGGGCTAGGGTAGAAATTTCAGGGTACATTCCTTTTGGTTGTATAGATGTGTATAACAGAAGACATCATTCTCTATTTCAGTCTCTAAAATCAGAGATGAGATGGATAAACTTGCAACAAATCAATGATCCAGCCAGAAACAACAAAAAAAATCTAAATAAAATATTAAAATTAGCCCCAAAATCTGCATCTGAGAGCTAATGGAGCAATGAGGACTAGAACAAACAAGATACTGGACTGGAGAAAACTGTGAAAAGGTTAGCTATACTTTCTCTGGGGACACTTGCTGATGCTAGACTTTGCCTAGGCAGAAGGCAGCCTCGGTGGATTACAGAGACATGATTAGAAATTTAAGCAGCCAAGATCCTTATGAGAAAATAGGGGTCCAGAAGAGAGCACAGTACACAGCAAGTTTTCCTTTCAAGACATTTGCCAAATTATGAACTTGTTCAGTGGGGAGGCTAAGAGACTAAGCAGAAAGTCTCTGAAAAGCATAGCAGAGGTTTGGCAAATTTACCACGCTGAGGAGACTATTATAGTTCAGAATCTGACACAGGGAATGGCCCTAGAGAATACACAGAACCACAGAGGGGCTAGAGAAAACTAGAGATGAATTGGTCCTTGACAAAACTGTAAGTTGGTCCTTGCCCAGTCCATTCAATGACTGGATTGAATGGATCAGCCTCTATTCTATTTAACAAAGGAAAGAGCGAACCTTTTCCAAAAGAATAAAATATCAACTAGATCCTCTATATGTTATTATACATAACATCCATTGTTCATTCAAAAGTACTAAGATGTCAGGAAACAGGACAATACCACTGGAAACCAAGAGAGAAAACAACATTTAAAATGAGATAATAAGATCCAGGAGGAGAGGGAGTTATTTTCACTGTTGATTCCCCAGCACCTAGAGCAAAGCTTGCATATAGTAGGAGATCAACATTTGCTTAATGTATGAATTAACGAAGTGATCCAAATTATTCACATTTATTTGGATAGACCTATGTATATTGAACCTTAGAAGCGGCAATAAAATGAGATTGAATCATGAAGAACTCTTCCATAGAGGAAAACATTAAACATGTTTTTAAATTGTTTTGTGTGTTCACTTTATTTCTCCAACTACATCTGTATTTCCCTTAGGGTAGCATAGCTGTTCGACATACACCTAGAACAATATATTAGCACAAAATAAAGAAATGTCCCTCCTCTGTGGCTGTGGGCACGTACTGAGTTACTGGATGCTATCACAATACAGATGAGACAGCACAATTTATGAAATAACTAATACATTTAAAAATGAAGAGTGATATATAAAAGTGGTTATTCTTATTTTTGCTGCTTCGGACAAATATAAAGAAAAATTACAAATATGCAGACCTGTCAACATACTTCAAGTTCCTTGATTTGCATACTCATTAACATTTAACGATATTTTCTGCTCAGGTTGTAAAGGACAGAGTGTGCATACATTTATATCAGCAATTTGAACCAGTTGGAATATTACATTGGACTCTAAAGAAAAGTAAAGTTGTGAGGCTTTATACCCAATGATTTTGGAGAGTGATTCGGAATTAAATTTATATGCTAGGAGGCACCAATAAGTTTGAATTTTGTTTGGAGTTTTAGTTAGTTATTTCAACTATTCGTCTTTTGTTCGTTTTGTTTTATACTTCGGCTGGTTATTTCCACTATGCATAGATCTAGAAAATCTTGCAGTTCTACCAGCCTTCTAGGTAAATATTGATTATCGATATTTATTTTAAAGAGTCTAAATGAATTTCTTTTCAGGCTATAACGCCAGTTTTTTTTTTGTTTCTTAAGATTTCAAGCTTAACTGTCGGATTCATAACAAATGTGTAGAAATTTCAAATTACAGAAAAGATTCATAATTATCCTAACAGCCTGAAAACATGAGCTACCAAGACTATCGTACCTAGTGAAACCTATGTGCTAAACAGCTACAAACTAAACAGACTCTAACATGGACTAAATACTCAATAAAACTATAATATAATAAATTGGTCTTACAGGTGATACTCTTGATCACTAGCAACAAAAGTTTCATTTCACTTCAATTTGTTACTTAAACGTAAGTGGATACAGTCAATGCCAGGTGATTTAGGAGCTGAGTCTCTGAAAGTTTAACAGGGGGCAGTAAACATAGATCACCAAACCAATATTGATTCATGCTTCACTGAAATCCATCTGTGGCCAGCTGGATTCATAATGTCACAGCTGTCTCTCCCAGCCATGTTTGAACAACACAAACAAGACTAGGGGCTTCACACATAAGTAAATCATGGATAAGGAGTTGACTTACCTGAGTACAAACCTGAATTAAACAAAATGAAACTAAAGCAAAAACTCTAAATATTTTTATGACATCGAGGTGATACTACCACTATAAAACTCTAGGAATTAAACTTAGATTTATTATATTAACCTTTTCTCAATCTTTCTGTGTTTGTAATGAAATGATTAACAGCCTTTAATCCAGTCATTTAGACAACTATTATTCAAATACCTACATTTTAATATTTTTACTCACAATTACTAATTCTTGATTATTGAAAGGCTTTGATAGAGCTCAGTACATGTGTATGGACCTTCCAGGCAAGACCTACAGTATGGAGCTATGGAGCAAGTTCCACTGGAATGTCAAAATGCTTCAGACAATTGTTTGAAGTGGACTGAAATGATTAAAATTGGATCTGGACTTAGCTTTGTTTACAGATAAAATGCTACCTCAAATTGCCAATTTTAGCCATTCACCCTTCTAGTTTATATAAGGAAGACATATATAAGAAGACTGTAGATGGAGTTTTCATTGAATAAACCCACTGACTGTGAGTGCATCCACCATACATCAACTATTCCTTTCATCCGTTGCCTTGCTTCGGCCCATTCAATGAAATTCATTTGCATTAGATGCAAAAACCTTAGTATAATTCTGATTCCTCCCCTCCTTGACTCTCAACATTTGATTAATCATTAAGGTTAC